GTTGCCGAGCAACACACAGAAGTAAACAAAGGTGTATGTTTGTAGAGTAATTTACAACAGCTTCGAACGCGGCTCAGCCAATCAGAATCAAGCACCGGAACTATCCGTTGTATAAATATAAGTCAAGTATATATACGGGTCAAGTACAAAAATATATCATGTGACATGCAGCTGTAGGTCTGCACGCGTGTCCGTGGACTGACAGTGCTCTAGAAGACGGCATGAGGAGGGAGAGATGGTGCTGGAAGGTTCACTGGCCCTCTCATCTGAGAAAATAAGTACCAGATGGCCAACTGTTTCCTTTACAAGGACACCAATCACTGCACTGGCATTACTGGATGAAGGTGACCACGTCCTCCAATTAGAAGCGGGACATTTCTCTCCCTGTGGAGAAAACGACTGCTTCCTTTGGTTAGCTGCAACTAACACTTCAAACTGTGCATCGGTAAAGGGAACAGTTCACAAGTTCAGAGAAGCAGCGCCAACATCCGTGGGTCAAAGAAGGAATGACACGTAATGTCTGTGAGCATGTGGCAGAACGGGCTATTTTACTCACTGGAGTTGTGTCCATAGCAGTCAAGTGCAGCTGTTCCTCCTCCAGACCCCACAGTACACCTGTCCCAATCCCACATACCCTCTCTTTAGCTCACCAGTGCAGAAAACAGACATGCATGCAGCAAACCTCAGACAGAACATGCAACAATGGATCTGATGTGATGTGTTCACTTCATATCACACTAAAATGTGCTGTACACTGGGGCTTCAGGGGAGGGTTCAGAAAAAGTCTGCCTGACTCGCTTGCAGCCAGGTTGATGTCAGATCCGGGAAATCCAAGTGGCCTCTCATAAAACATCTGCTTCAACTCAAAGCATTTGCCTGCAATGAAGACTAACTGCCACCAGGCCCACAATCACAGCGTCTTATAATTGCGCTTGCCAGTCATTATTATAGTCTCATTAGTAATCACAAAGTTATATGGTTTAACAAGAACTGACCAGAAAATATGAAAAGAGAAAAGGGGCCTCAAGGGTGCTAAAAAGCAACACCACGCATGAAAAATGTCATATAGTACCGCCGGAAACTGACGTCATTCCCATGTTTCTGATGTGCTTCTCTGATGCTATGTGGTCATATCTGCTGAGGTTTGTTTAACAGGCTGAGTTTAACTAGGACTCCAGAAAGAAGAATTCCAGTGGCATTTTCACTTCAGGTAGGGGACACCTTTTGTAGGGACATTCCAAGTGAAAGCAAACAATGATTTTACCGATCATGGAAATGTGACCCAGGGTCCTCGCAATTCATTTTAAAACTAGACGGCTGGAGAGTTTGAGTTAACATAGGCCTATAAATAGAATAATTCAAGTTGGTTAGGGTTAGGGGTTAGGGGGTGGGCGCCCTGGAGGCTGGTGCAGGAATGGGACACGGGGAATACCTCCAGGGCGGATCAGGCAGTCCAGGTTACCATGGCGGCACAGGGAGCTGGGCTGGACATGGGGACTGGAGCCCTTTCTGTGCTAGACACGGGGACTGGAAACTTCTCTGGGCTAAACTCGGGGACAGGAGCCCTCACTAGGCTAGACTCGGGGACAGGAGCCCTCACTGGGCTAGACTCGGGGACAGCAGCCCTCACTGGGCTAGACTCGGGGACAGGAGCCCACACTAGGCTAGACTCTGGGACAGGAGCCCTCCGTGGGCTAAACTCGGGAACAGGAGTCCTCCTTGGGATGGATTCAGGGGCTGGAGCTGACACTGGAGCGAGCTCTGGGGCTGGAGCCGACCGCCTTCTCCTCCTTCGATTCCCCTTTAGGTTTGGGGTGAAAGGCGTGGTCGGGTATGTGATCCCGAGCCGGAACAGCGTCACCAGGGTCTCCCATCGAGGGGGCTGGCGAGGGCAAGCGGCACGAATGCCCTAGCGTAGGTGATCGCCAGAGCCACAGCGATGAACATCGCTCGTTCCTCCATTATAGCGGGGAGAAACAAACAGGAAAACAAAATACTTTTCAAAAACGAAAAACAAACACGGGGAGAAGGGGCGCCGCTTACGGTCCGGTATCCTGTCATGGTGCTACTGTGTTGGAGCGCGGAGCAAGGAATGAGGAAACCAGGAGTACATCAACACAGGAGATTTTAATTATAACCAGGGAACCAGGAAAACACACGTAGCAGATGAGGTAGACATAAACAGACATTCACAATACCGGATGCCGAACTGATAACATGGAACACTATTTACACAATTGACATGACGATGGGATCACGAGACACACCTGGGATCAATAGAACTGAAAAGGGGACACCTGGAACAAATAAGGACAGGAACGGGAAGGACCAAATATAGGCATGGAAACACATGGGGAGCAAAACACACACAAAACACGGAACAGAGTCTGACAGAACAGACACACATCATACACGACTTGGATTTTGGAAATATGATTTTGTGTATTTTTGGTGAATTATTCAAGTGTTCAAATCTATATAACTTCCTGGTCATGTGACCTGATGATGTCACACCAGTTGTAAGATCTTTACGCAATCCTGACACACATCTTACATCTTACATGTGTGTGTATATGTATATGTGTATGTGTATATATAAAAACCAAATCAATTATATTTGTCATCTAATGATTTGCCTGTAATATATCAGCAAAAATGCCAAACCATCAACTTGGATATGAATAGTCAAACAAATCAAATGTTTAGCAGAAAGGTTAAGCAAAAAAAAAAACATGTATGTATACATATATATATATACAGTATATAGGTTTTGTACACATCCATTAATGTGTATTTTAAAATTGCATGCATTAAACATCATTAGCTAGCCTGACAGATCTGTGGATCACTCATATATATTTGAATTCTGAATTTAAAGAAGTTTTCAATTTGACATGAGCCTAAACTAAACCTCAAATGATCCTTTTTTTCATGAGGATCT